TGTTTTGAGGTGAGTCTCTTGTAGACAGCATATAATTGGGTCATGTTTTTGTATCCATTCAGCTACCTTACACCTTTTGATTGGAGCATTTAATCTATTTACAATTAGGGTTATTATTGAGAGGTAATTATTTATAGCCATTTTAATTCTGTATGGCTAGGTTTCTCTCTCTGTTTCTTCTTCTCAGCAATCCCTTATAGTAGTCCCTTTAGCATTTCTAGTAATGCTGGCTTGGTGGTGATGAATTCCCTTAGCCTTTTTTTTGGGGGGGGTCCTCTTCTGGCACACCTATCATTCTAATATTGTTATGTTTCACATTGTCCCACAGGTCCCTTAAGCTGTCATCCTGTTTTTTAATTGTTTTTTTCTTTTTGGTTCTCTAATTGAGTGATATTTTCAACTCTGTATTCTAATTCACAGATTCGATCCTCAGCTTCCCCTAATCTGCTGTGTATTACTTCCAATGTGTTCTTTATTTGTGTTATGTCATTCTTTATCTCAGGCTACTCTTTTTTCATAGATACTATACCTTTTTTCATACTGTTAAGCACTTTTAACATCATTACTCTGAACTCTGTTTCAGATAAACTTCTTATCTCTGCTTCATTTATTTCTTCTGGAGAATTTGCTAGTTCTTTCATTTGGGGGTTGTTTCTTTGGTTCCTCATTTTGGTTGTCTGTTTGGGTTTGTGACTATGTATTAGGTAGGTCCTCTACACCTCTCAATCTCTACTGCAGGACAGTGTTAAAGGCTGTTTCTGACTAATTGGATTAGGCAAAGACTCAAAGCCTCCAGAGACCACCTCTGTCTACAGACTAATAACTTAAATTGCCCGCAGGCAACCGTCCTCAGGTGTGGTGAGAGTTTTTTCAACAGAGTGGGGCAGTTACTTCTGCCTGGAGGCTAATTGCTACTTTTAATCTCTTAATTGGCCTCAGGGCAAGGTGTTTTCCACTAGGGTGTGTCAACTGTCTTCCCCCACCTCAGGCAAGGCAAAATATCTGTGTGGGAAAGATGTCTTCTGCTGTGTGAGGGAATGACTCAGCACAGGAAACTTGGGGTGTCTGCCTTCTGAGCTCTGTTGCCTGAGTCCCCAGTCCTGGGCTCTGCTCTCACAGCTCCAGTCCACTTCGCTTTCCCTCTGCCTGAGCACAAGGTGAGTGGCTCCACAGGGAATTTTTGTGTGTTGGCCCTTTAAGAGGGTGTTCAAACTTTCAGCTGCCACTCCCTGGCAGACAGCACCCCACTGCTTTTCCCAGCTAGATGTTATGTGGGTACCTTCTTCAGCTTGGTGCTATCTAATGGGGAGCCTAGCTTCGGGATTAGATCCCAGAGTTCTCAGTGGCACCCTTCTCTCCTCCCCTCCACCCCCAGCTGAGATATCTCTCCGGGACTTCAGTTGCCATCTGTGGGTGCCTGGCCAGCCCTTTCATGCTTCCACCCCTCCTACCAGTCTCTATGCCAGTGGTTCTCAACCTGTGGGTTGCGACCCCTTTAGAGGTCGAACGACCCTTACACAGGGGTCGTCTAAGACCATCGGAAAACACATATATAATTACATATTGTTTTTGTGATTGATCACTATGCTTTAATTATGTTCAATTTGTAACAATGAAATTGGGGGTCACCACAACATGAGGAACTGTATTAAAGGGTCGTGGCATTAGGAAGGTTGAGAACCACTACTCTATGCAGTCTCCACCTCCAGTCCTTGGTTATCAGGGTTTTCTCCTGTGAGTTTTCCGTTGATTATTCAGGAAGCCTTTCCGTATTTCAGTTGTAATTCCAGCTTGTTCCTGGGAGCATGTCCATGCAGCATCCTCCTACTCTGCCACCATTTTTAATCTCCCCTGTGTTACTCCTTCAGACTATGTTTTATGATGCTATTTCCAGCAAACTGACATTTTTGTCCCATGCTGGGCATAGGGGTCTACATAAATGTATTCTTTTTAATATATATATTTTTTATTGATTTCAGAGAGGAAGAGAGGAGAGAGGTAGAAACATCAATGATGAGAGAGAATCATTGATTAGCTGCCTCCTGCATGCTCCTTACTGGGGATGGAGCCCACAACCCGGGCATGTGCCCTGACTGGGAATCAAACTGTGACATTCTACCACTGAGCAACACCGGCCAGGCTAGATGTATTCTTTAAGATACAAAACAGAAGACCTGAACCAGCTTGCAAACAGCCTGCTGGGATCTGTAAGATGTTTTCATTCTCCCCTAACATTTTCTTCCCCTTCATTTCAGAACAAATTGGTGGGAAGATTTTTGAGACTAACTTTTCTTCCCCAATTTTATTTCAAAAAATCTCAAACCCAGACACCCACAAAAAGTTGACCCCTGAGCCTCAGCTTTTCCCGGCTCCTCCTTGCTACTCCAGGTGCCATTCAGAGACTGGCCATGTCTGCATGGCTGGGAGCTTGTCAGGAATACAGACTCTCAGGCCTACCTCAAACTGTGGAATTGGAACCTGCATTTTGACAAGATCCTCAAGTACTAATGCCTGAGAACTTATCTCTCTGCTCCTCCCTTCTCCCCCTTCCTTTGCCATGTGCCTTATGTATGTATTTAATTGTAAGTCCCTACTTAATATGGAGCCTGAAAGACAAGCACCAGCTGACAGAGTCAGGAGGTAATGCTTTGTCTTTTCTAAAGAATGGTCTCCTGAACCCCGGGACAGTCCCACAGCGGAGTGAACGAGCTGGATCTGCATTAAGGGGTACAAGGCTCCCCCAGCTGGAATAATGCCTTCAGGACTAATATTCACCAGAGTCTTGAAGTTACAGGGTGATTTCAAACAGGGACCATTCTTTTATTTGATCCTCACAAGAGAAGTAGCCACAGCAGAGCCCACACTCTGCCCTAGCTTTCCAAGGCTTGCTGCAAAGGAGCCTGACTCCCCTCAGAGTGCTGCCTCCAGAATGTCCTCTGTGATGTGTCCCCAATTGTGCACCCACAGCCCCTCCCCTCCCAACCTTAGAACATGGAGACAATGGGACAGAACCCTTAAAACTGGGCTGCTCTAGGGTGCAGTCAGAGTGGAACCACAGGGCTTCTGTGGATTCCTCGACCAGCTCACCAAGGGTAGCGTGAGGAGTGAGCACCATGTCGGAGGGGTAAGTTGGGGCTGGAGTGGAGCCCCCAGGGCTGGGAGAGCAAAGAGCAAGCTGCCTCCTGCTCAGGGTCCCATCAGGCTGGGGCTGCTGGACAGGTAGAATGACTGGGGGGAGGGGGGAGTCATGCTGGGCCAGGGCCCTGATTCTCACTCAGCAGCCCCAGTTGCTCCAGTCTGTGGTCAGCTTTTGTTCTTCAGATGTCTCTTGGACTATTAAATCCAGAGCCAGGGCTCTTCTCTGGGAAAGGGACCATCCTCTACCCTCACCCCTCACCCCACTTCCCACCCACCATCCTAGACCACTGCAGCATCCCTGGGCTGCACCCTCACCATGGACGGACCAACTGCTGCCAACTCCAAAGGGCCTCTTCCTTATAGGGAGCCCCTAAGAGCCATGGCCATTCTTCATTCCTCTAGTGACCCCAATCTCACACTGCTAATCCCCAGTGTGCTCACTGTGGCTGCCATCTCCTGCCCCTGAGGGCCCCTCACTTCACTGAGCTCACTGTGAGTAACCCTAACATCACACCTTCTGAAACCTGATTTCACACTCCTCGAAAGGCTCAGCAGCACCCCTGCAGCCCCGTCCCCAAACCCTGATGCTCAGAACACTCCAGTACACACTGCCTCCTCTCCAGATCTTACCAACGCCTCTGGGACTCTTCCCACATGACCTTGCAAGAGCTACTGGACCAAGAGCAGCCCATGCTCCAACCCGTGCCCACCCGGGAGTGGCAGTCCTTCCAGTACAGGCTCTCATCGCTCTACCTGTACTACCTGGGGCTGCTGCGCGGGTTCGACATTCTCTATGACCAGATGGTGCAGCCGCAGAAGCGGCGGCTGCTGCGGCGCCTGCTGGACAGCGTGGCGGGCCGCGTGCTGGAGCTCAAGGATGAGATGGTGCGGGTAGACATGTGCGAGTGGCACTGCCTGGACCACGTGCTGCGGGACCTCGGGCTCACCCCGGTGCGAGGACAGCGTGGTGCCACACCCACACCAGTGGAGGGTAGGGGTGGGGGTGGGGCTGGTCTTGACCTCCTTCAGACACCTCTGGGGCCTCTGCAAGGAAGGGAGGGAGGTCAAGCCGGTGGATCAAGGATGGGGGAGAAGGCCTTCAGAAACTGGGGTGGGGGTGGTGCATGCAAGTGGCTGGGGGGGTGTAGCTAGAGAGTCAGGCTGGAGATCTCACATGGATGGGAAGATTCATGACCCAGGAGGGATCAGTGAAGAGTCCTCTAGATGCTTGCTCCTCAAAGTGTAGTCCATGGACCAGCAGCGTCTGCACCACTAGCAGCTCGTTAGAAATGCAGACTCTGGAGGCCTCACCCCAAGCCTACTCATCTGTACTTGCATTTTAACAAGACCCTCAGGTGATCTGGATGTCCCAGCAGGTTCCAGAGCATGAAGCTCCAAGGCCATGGTTCACTGCTCCCATCCAGGGCAGACTCGGTTTCCTGACCTGCTGCATCACGCTCAGCTGTTGGCTTGAAAAAAACAGATTCTCCAGGCCGTGCAATTCTGAGTGGTGGTCTGGGGAGGGCCTGGGAGTCTGCATTTTAAAGGCTTCCCAGTTGATTCCGGTGCACAGTCAGGTTTGGAACCACTGCCCATTAGCTACCATGATCCTCCAGAATTCAACTCTGGTCACAGGGTCCAGGCAGGGGAGAAAGTGATGACTGTGAGTGGATTTTCCAGTTGCCCATAAATTTCCAACTCCAGGGATCTAGCATGGAGGAAAACAGGATCTCTGTGAGTAGCTGGAAATAGTAATGGACTGGCCAAATGGCCTACCTTCTGATTCCTGACCTTCCGTCCCCCCTATTGCCCCAAAGGCTGACCTGGAGGTTCCAATCCCCAAATATTTCCTGCTGGAGCAGTCCAGCATTCTGCAGGAGCGAGAGCTGATGCTGGCAGAAATCCTATCCAGAATGGAGCCAGTGGCCTTCCAGGAGGCAAGTCCAGGGGACTCTCTCCCTGACTCCTCCCATAGCCCTGCTCCAGGAATAGAGATGCCCCCCTTCAGGACCCAGGGAGGCCCTGCCCTGCCCTACTCCCAGCTGAGAGGGCTCTTTGGATAATTCCTAGTCTCCTTCAAGGCTGCTCCTGTGTCCTTGTAACCTTCCAACACCAACAGAGAGGAGCAGGACTTGGGCACCTAGATGTCCCGGGAGACCCATGCCCCCAGCATGTCCTTCAGTGTCTAATTTCCCAACTGCCCACCTGGATACGAGCCCTCCCTCACCTTCTGCTCCTTTGCTCTAATCTGGCCAGGTCGAACCAGTAATGAGTCGGACTGAGGCCATAATCCTGCTGCAAACGGCCGAGCGGGCCAGACAAGGCAGACTCCGAGCCGCCTTCATTCGAGAGATTCGAAGGAGGAGCG